AATCATGTTGCCTCTCAGGCGTCTCCTCTCCACGGAGAAAAGCCCTAAGGATTCTAACCTCTCCTTATATGACTTACCCCTCATTCCCGCGATCATTCTAGTAGGTAATCGTTGCACCATCTCGAGGCAATTTATATCATTCTTCTAGGAGGGAGACCAAGCCTGCACGCAGTATTACAACTGTGGCCCAACTATGGCCTTATATAGAGGTAGGAAAACCTCAGCCTTCCTTGACGAATGGGCCACCTTGAGCTGGAACAATTGCCCCCTCACTTTTTGTGCGGCGGCCAGGCATTGAACACTAGGCTTAAAGTCCTCGCGGACCAAACTTCCTAGATCCAGCATTCGGTTAACTCGAGCGAAGACCGTCGGTTCCGTGGTCGTAGCCACTCGAACCGGAAGCCCAACGGTATTTAGAACATGACACTTGGTAGCGTTTAGCTCCAAGTCCCAATTCATTGTCCACCGGACAACCTTAGTCAGATCAACTTCCAATTGATCTACCGGCCGTGAGTTCACTAGCTTGACGTCGTCGGAAAAAATGAAGGCAGGAACCGCTAGCTCCGGGACCAAGTCATTTATAAACAGCAGGAAGAGCATCGGGCCTAGCACTGAGCCCTGAGGCACACCGCTGGATACGTTGCCGACGTTTGACACACACACACACCACCATACTGAGGAGCTTTCTATGATCGAGTCTACTGGTTAGGGTTTTCACACCCTAGTGCCAGGTCTTGGATTGATCACCTTCGGCTGTTCTTCACTCACTACCTGTCTCAGAAAACATCGTGAACCGTGGTAATCTATTTGGTGACATGCGCAACACATACTCCAACCAACGTAACCTATAGCGGTCGACCATATTATATATATATATAAACGTTCTTACGGTTGCAAAACTTAGTTCCTGTGCTAGAATGACTGTTAACAGCCTTCAGTATACGATTAAAGCTGTCACCGAGCTATTGTCAGTGAGTAATGGGGTCCGAAACGTATTTGGCGAAGGCAGTCACACTAAACTACTATACTATACCACCTCCAGTCGCCAGGACGCGAACTAAGCAAGCCTGGTCATAACCCGTCACACCAGTCGCTGGCTGCGGTTCATAAACACGGACATCATAGCGGCAAAATGATCAGGCTATGACCGGATGTGAAGGTATAAAAAAGCAATGAAAGCACTGGTTACGTCGTTCGCTTTGACTGTCCGACTGGGGTCCCGTGGATTAGGAACGATCTGCGTCGGAAATCCCAAGAGATGTGACTCAGCAGTCCATAAACATTCCCAGTGATCCGTTACAGTGTGCTTACAAGCCAAATAGATCCACCCTGGACGCAGTCTCTACCCTCATTCATTTCATCACTAAATCGTTGAACAGCTCTGCTAAGTCTGTTCGGTGTGTTTTTCTCGACTACTCTTCTGCATTCGATTCCATTCCTCGATCTAAGTTGTTACAAAAACTGGAATCGTTTGAATGCCGCAAGCAGTTGTTAGCTTGGCTATCCAACTATTTTACCGATAGGGTACAAACCACTAGATTGGGGAGGCCATATCGAAACCCTTAGTCAACAACTCCGGGGTCCTTCCAGGAGCTGTGCTATCCCTATACTTATCTGTCACTTATATTTGTGATATTCCCTGTGTTTCTCCCGCACGAATTTTGAAATATGCAGATGATGTCATGTTGTGCCAACCCATTTCTTCTTACTCTGATCTAAGTTCTTTTACCGATAATCTTGATCAAATTCAGTCATTCTCCTCCACATCGGGTTAACCCTGAACCCCAGTAAATGTGTTGAGTGTTTATATAGTTTTGCTCGCTCTCCATATCCGACACACCCCACAGTGATTAATAACAATCCTTTATCCAGAGTGAACTCTGTCAAATATCTTGGTGT